TACTTCCAGGGTTAATATGTATGGGTAGTAATTTGGTTCTGTCATTTTGGGAATGGGTTGTTCACTGATTTAGTCTTCTGTTGTTATTTTATTGGGATGTTCTTCACATTTGCCTTTGGTTTTGTTGGGTGCTATTCCTCTTCTCTGTCAAGAGAACATCTTGAAGTATCATTTGTAGGGCAGGTTTCTTTGAACTTTCCTGTACTGTGGAAGAATTTTATTTCATTTTCAAAGACAAAGGAAAGCTGTGGTTTCCACAGGCCCATCTACTGGCACACCATTTTCTACCTCCTGTGATATTGTGCTGAGGTTGCACTGTTGTCTCTGCAACCTTTCTCCCACTTTCAGTTGAAGCAGGTCCCAGGAATAGGGAGACACCTATAGCTAGGTTGTTGGTGGTGCTGATTTTGCCAGAACCTGTTGGACGTTAGGAATGGTGCCACATGGACCTATTTTGACCCGCACAATGCCACAGTCGGTATTATTTTCCTGTGGGACCAGTGCAATCCACAGAACTCAGTGAGTTCTTGTGAGCTCAGCACATGCATAGTTCACTGTTGTCCCCTGCAATCCTAAACTTTTGCCCCACTGTGCAAAATGGCACCTGTTGTGCCACTACTAGGGGTTTTGATCTGCTGGCCATCAGGTATGAGGGCTACTCAGACCTGTCTTGGGTGGAATGTGTAGAATGCCATGTTGCTGCAGTTCACTGAGTCAGAAATGAGTTCACTCCCAGCTCAGTTTATGCTAAGCCCTTTTCCCTTGCCCTTGCCTCCTTAGCAAAATGGCGCCCAATTTGGCTCTAGGGGGCTGACTGGGCTATGAAATCCACCCTGTTCTCACATTGCCCGTCTGAGATCTGCTGCTCTGTCTCTGCTTCTGGTCAAATCAAATGGACCAGCAGGATGGACAGTTCTTTGTCTGGGTTCACCTCCCAAGCTCCCAGTGAAAGTCCCTTCCCACCTGGTTGCTGGTGGAGTTCCGGCTGCTGGTGGAGTTCAGATTGCTGTTTGCTGAATGCTGCTGGAGTATCAGTCACTGCAACACCACACTGTTGTGTCCACTGCTTTCCTGTGTCTGTCAGTCTCCAGGTACCCTCCGCTGTTGTTCTGTCCTCTCCTATTTCCTAGAATATGTCCTCTCTGCTTCATCCAGATTAAATGTTTCTCCATCCGTTTAAACATGTCCTTTCCCTATTCTGCCATCTTGATTCTCCCTGCGTTGGTTTTTAATGTCTCTCTCTTCTTTTGTTAAGATTTATTTGTTTTGATTGTGAAGGCAAATTTTGCAGAAAGAGAGACAGAGAAAAAGATCTTCCATCCACTGTGCCAATCCCCAAACAGCCACACACAGCCGGAGCTGAGCTAATCTGAAGCCAGAAGCCAAAGGCCATGAGTCTCTTCCAGGTCTTCCTGGGTATAGGGTCTCAATTGCTTTAGTAGGCCAAAAGCGCCATCCTCAATTGCTTTACTAGGCCAAAAGCAGGCAGCTGGATTGGAGATAGAGCAGCCAGAACACAAACTGTAGTCCATATGGGATCCCAGCGCTTGCAAGGTAGTGATTTATCCAATTGAGCCATTGCACCGGGCCTTTTCTTGTTTGTACCAGTATGCTGTTTTGCACTAATTTTCTTATGTTGAGTAAACCTTGTACTTCTGGTTCTCTCCTCAAATGCCTGCAACAGCCAGGACTGGGCCAGGAACTCCACTTGGGGAGCATCCTACTGGATGCATGACTATCATCCTTTATCCATTTGATAGCATTTTGTTGAAACATTTTGAATAAATATTCTTAGGGACATTGGTGTATAGTTTTATATTGTAATTTTCTTGCTTCATTTTGGTATTAGGGTATTTCTAAATTCACCGAATGAGGTGGGAATTGTATCTTCTTCCATTTTCTTTTTTGGTTGAGTTTGGGAGTGAATGATGTTAGTCTTCTTCAAAGCTCTGGTATAATTTATCAACGAAGCCATCTGCTCCTGAGATTTTCTTTATCAAAACCATTTTGATTGTTTGATATGATTTTAGTGGTACTAAAAAAATGTTAGTTTTGATGTCAACCCATGATGTAATAAGATCAGGTACAAAAGAAAGTTTAATTATTGCATTACTCTTTCAATCATTATATATATGAGTTCCATAATACCTTTTACATAATAAATTTATAATACCTCTAGCATCTAGAAAGTCATATTTCTCCATATTACTTCTATTATTTTAAGTTATAATTTTCAATGATTTATTTACTTTTATTGTAAAGTCAAATATATAGAGAGGAGAGACAGAGAGGATGATCTTCCGTCTGCTGATTCACTCCACAAGTGGCCACAATGGCCAGAGCTGTGCTGACCTGAAACCAGGAGCCAAGAGCCTCTTCCAGGTCTTCCATGTGAGTGCAGGGTCCCAAGGCTTTAGGCCGTCCTTGACTGCTTTCCCAGGCCACAATCAGGGAGCTGGATGGGAAGCCGAAAGCTGGGCTGCCGGTGTTAGAGCCGGCGCCCATAGGGGATTCTGGCACGTGCAAGGTGAGGTCTTTAGCTGCTAGGTTACCATGCCAGGTGCCTTAAATGGTCATTCTTGTAAGATATAAGCATGACTGTCTAGTATCATTCAGATACAAACTGAATATGGTCGGGCCTGGAGTGGTGGCCTAGTGGCTAAAGTCCTCGCATTGAACATGCTGGGTTCCCATATGGGCACCGGTTCTAATCCCGGCAGCTCCACTTACCATCCAGCTCCCTGCCTGTGGCCTGGGAAGGCAGTCGAGGGATGGCCCAAAGCCTTGGGACCATGCACCCACATGGGAGACCTGGAAGAAGTTCCATGCTCCAAGCTTCGGACTGCACAGCACCAGCCCTTGCAGTCACTTGGGGAGTAAATCATCAGACAGAGGATCTTCCTCTCTGTCTTTCCAACTCTCCGTATATTTGACTTTGCAATAAAAATAAAATAAAAATCTTTTTAAGAAATTGAACATGGTCATGCATATCTCATACATAAAATGATTGTTTCATTACATGTTTATATGGTATCTCATTCATTAATGAAAGAATGCCAGTAAGACAGTGCAGCAGCTTAGAAAGAATCACAGATGAAAAACAGAGGCAATACAAGAATTATTTTTTAAAATAGATATTTAGCTGACATCATAGGTAGGGAAAGATAATAAATTGCTCTTCCAAGGGACATTATTCACTTGCATGCCATTGATCAGCTACAATGAAGGTGTTCAAAGATACTTAAAGGCACAGACTGTATAAAATTTGCTTGGCCATTTAACAGTTTTTCATATTTTTCCCCTTACAATAATAGACAAAAGGATTTGCTATCCTCATGTTTACTTTTCCAAAGGTACTTTTCAATATTTCTTAGAGTTTTGAAAATCATATTAACATTTAAAATGGGGCCATTTTAAGTTTCTAAATATGCTTGAAAGAATTTCACAAGTTACTTTTGTAGTATGTTTCCATCCAGGAACATTTGAGGTTTTTAAAGTTCTTATTAAATCTTTGTGCATTTCATCATCCAATCCTGAACAATTCTTTTTAATTCCAAAGTAATTGATCTTGATATGTAAGAGAATTTCCTCTGTCCTTTATAGCTTCTAAATAGTTGTCATTGGAAACTAGTGATTTTTTAAAAAAGATTTCTTTATTTATTTGAAACGCAGATTTACAGAAAGAGGGAGAGAGAGAAAGATCTTGCATCAGTTGGTTCACTCTGCAGACTGAAAGCTGGAACTGGACTGACCCGAAGCCAGGGTCCAGGAACTTCTTCCAAGTCTTCCAAGTGGGTGCAGGGCTCGAGCACTTGAGACTTTTTTGGTTTTTTGGTTTTTTGTTTGTTTTGCTGCTTTCCTAGGTGCATTAGCAGGGAGCTGAATCAAGGTGCAGCAGTTGGGTGCCCATGTGGGATGCTGGTACCATAGGCAGCAGATTTACCCAAATAACACAGCACACTCCCCAGATGGATTTCAGTGAAGGTGAAGGTAGCTCATTTTGGAGATGGAGCTCAGAGGATTGCTAGCCCCCAGGTGTGAGAAAACAAGAGGGAGGAGAGTGCTCTCACCTCCCCTGCCCTGGCGTGCTCGAGGTGGGCTGTTAGCCAGGCCCCCCTCCCTATACCTGCAGACGAACATCCATGAGGACACCTAGAGGGATGTGAGCAAAGAGGCCTGGCAGGTGCTCCCGCAGCCCCCATTTACTAGCCAGGTCATAACTCCTTTTCCCAGTTATACTTCTTTCTTTTCTTTTTTTTTTTTTAAGATTTATTTAATTTTATTATAAAGTTAGATATTTAGAGAGGAGGAGAGACAGAGAAGAAGATCTTCTATCTGCAGAGTCACTCACCAAGCGGCCACAATGGTTGGAGCTGCACTGATCTGAAGCCAGGAGCCTGGAGCCTCTTCCAGATCTCCCACACGGGTGCAGGGTGCAGGGTCCCAAGGCTCTAGACCCTTCTCGACTGATTTCCCAGGTCACAAGCATGGGAGCTAGATGGGAAGGGGGGCTGCCAGGATACAGGATATGGGGTTCTGGTGTGTGCAAGGTGAGGGCTTTAGCTACTAGGCTACCACGCCAGGCCCCCAGTTGTACTTTTCTAAATCCACCCACCTCTTCATCAGATCTAGCCCAAGAAATACATAGATTTCCCTGTGCCTTTGGGACTTCAAGGGTGCTTGTGTCACATAAAACTTCTATCAGTATGTTTGTCTCTTATTAATCTGTCTTTTGTTACATGGCCTCAGGCATGTACCTACCTATGGGTGAATCCTATTGCCTTCTCTATGGATCATGCACCAGCCCAGAGAAGGGAGAAGCTTATGTCTGCTTTTAAAGATTCAAAGAATTTTCTTGAACTACATCACATCCTACAAATGCACCTGAGATTGAAGCTCTTAGTCCCCTTTGTGTCACTACAACAAAATGCCCGAAGCTGGATACTTCCCAAGGACGTTTATTTGGCTCACAATTCTGGTGGCAAAGAAACCCAAACGGCATGGTACTGGGGTCTCAGCAGGCACTCCCTGAGTGTGTCACAAGCAGCAAACAGCATCACCTGGCTGGAGTATGTGTGGAAGAAGCTGGCAAGAGTGAGCTTGGAAAGCTGAACTGGCTTGTAACAACCGATGCTGGGGGAGAACCAACCTGTATTACTCCATCATGTCTGTGCAGCCCCCATGAGCTAATTACCTTCCAGTAGGTTCCATCACCTAAATATTTCACCACACTGGGAACCAAGCTTGCAGCATATAAACCTTTGCAGGGGGGCAGGGAGGAGTTGTCAGTCAAACCCACGCCATAGTAGTCCAATCTTGGAGCCCAAGAGCATGTTACTAAACAGAGGAACTTGTTTACTTGTACCTCCATCTAGAAGCTTCCCCAAACCTCCTCTCTGCAACCAAATTGAATCACCTTGTCCCAGAACCTCACCTTCCCATTCTTGTATGGCTTCGTGGTTTTTCCATCTGTGTTTAGCTTACTCCTCCTTCCTGACTTTTTCCCCTTAGTATCTCCCACCGCACTTACGCAGAGCCTTGTACATAGCAGGTCTTCAACAAAGGCAAGCTTTTAGGATGTTATTTTGCACATCCTCCGGAGTACCTGCTAGAGTCTACCAAAAATGACCAAAAACGTCATTCACTTCAATTTGTAGGATTCTCTGAAAATGACTCTCCTTCCAAGAATTGCTAACAGCTTAGCAAGGGCGGATGCCAACTCCGACATTCCTGCCTTTCCATTGCAGGAAGGATTTGGGGCCTCTCCTCATCCACCATCACTGTCTAAGTGAGGTCGGTAAAAGGAAACGTTTTCTTTTCAGCGACCTCATTTGCTCCCCATCTCTGGCCTTTTTCTCCTTGCTGGTAAACGACTTCAATCTCCGTCCTTAGCAGTTCACGCCCCCTCGCGTTCCTATGGTGCTTGAGGGATTTTAAAATATCCACTCTGACACAGAACCCGCCAGGCTTCTCCTTCTTTGGGGGGTTGAAGCTTGGAAAAGGAATGATGGAGAAAGTTTCACGCTAACTTAAAAAGTTGAGTCACAGCCCATTACACAGCGAAAAGTTTTGCAGCCTGCACCCGGGTGCGTGGCGCGGGGTTGGGCAGCGGTGCCCTCTTGGGAACCCAGGAAGTCGAGCCCCCAGGACAGCGAGGCCCGAGCCGCCGCCCACGGCGCGGCCCCTGCACCCGTGGCTCCCGTGGCCGAGGTCCCGCCGCCCCAGGGCGCTGATGTCGCGCGCGTGCGTGGTGTAGCCCAAGCACCGGGCTCCGAGGCCGGGCCGCAAAAAACCCGGAGCCCGGAGGGGGCAGGGCCACGGGCGCGGGGGCTTGGCGGGTGGTGGGGCTGGGAGAGGTAGAAGATGTGACGCCGCGGCCCTCCGCCTCCAGAGCAGCGGACGCAGTGTCCGCGCCTGCAACCGGCCCCGGGGTGCTGCAGCCTGGCAGGCGGCTTTTTCTGAGAGTCGCGGCCGCGGACACAACTCATCCCTCAGCCCGGCCCGCGGGGCCGCCGGGGCTCGCCTCGCGCCAGAGCCGGCGGAGAGCGGAGCAGCCGGGCTGCACGAGGCTGGGGGCCCGCGGGCGCGGCCGCGCGCAGCCGGGCGGGAGGCTGGGGGGCCGGGGCCGGGGTCGTGCCCCGGAGCGGGTCGGAGGCCGGGGCCGAGCCCGGGGGGCGGCCTCTCCCCACGCGGCTCCTGCAGCTCCCGCGGCTCGGGGGCTCCGACAGGGACCCGAAGGGGCCATGGCAGCCGGGAGCATCACCACGCTGCCCGCCCTGCCGGAGGACGGAGGCAGCGGCGCCTTCCCGCCCGGCCACTTCAAGGACCCCAAGCGGCTTTACTGCAAAAACGGCGGCTTCTTTCTGCGGATTCACCCCGACGGCCGCGTGGACGGGGTTCGGGAGAAGAGCGACCCTCACAGTGAGTGCGCGCCCCTTCCGCTGTCCTCCTCTCGCGCAGATCCCACTCCTGTCTCGGGGGGGAACGTATGGTTTCTTAGAACGTGCTGCCCTCGGCGGTTTCGGGTTCACCGCTTGCCCCCTCTGGCCCTGAGCTGCGGTTTCGGGTTAGACGGCCCCGGCCTTTGGGCTGTGCCAGTTTCCCTTGGTGAACCAGCGCCCGGGACCCGCAGCCGCAGGCGTCTGGCCGGCCGGGCTTCCTTGGCACAGACCACCTGTCACGTGCGGGATGCCCCGCGCGGACCACGAGGGCTGCTGCCTGCGCGCGCTCTGCCACCGAGAGAGGAGGAGCGGCTGCGGAGTTAAACGTTCTTGGGAAAACAAAACTTTTTTTCCCGAAATTCTACGCTTGAATTTCGCTCAGTATGACCTCAGGCATCTGGCACACACCACTGCCACCCATTTCTGGTCACCCCCCACCCCCCACCTTGAATTGACGAAAGCTGAAAGACCTAAACCAAAGAACCCCCCACCTCCAGGACTTTTGTTTGAATCAGTAATGAAAAGGCGTACGCAGCTTTTGAGAACTTGAGCATTTAACCCCAGAGCTGCGGTTTCCCCAGCTATAAAGTCGGGAAAATGTCTATCTTGCAACTGATTTTAGAACCTGTTAAAAGTGTGTGTGCATGTGTGTTTTCAAACTTTCGGTGTGCATGAGCCTCAGCTGCGCGGGTTGTTCTACCACTGCCAGACCGGACCTCTGAGTCTCTCGCTGCCTCCTACTGAGCAGGGGCCGAGCTTTGCACTTTCATCAAGTCCCGAATAGGGATCACACTTGGACAGCCAAACGAGGAAGAAAATTGGGCACAGAATGGGCTGGTGGAGTTGGAAGTGAGATGGACCAGAATATATTAGTCTCTGTTACCCTGTGAGTATGTGAAACATTCGTTTTAAAAGGTGTGTGGGGATGTGTGTGCACACACACACACGTGGCACCCCTTATGTACAAGGTCCAGGTGGAGGAACTGAGCCTGAGATTTGGCTGGGGTCTGGCCCCCCGCCCCAGGTGTACTGTTTTTAAGATGCTAATAGAATAAGTGTCTTTGCACTGTTGAGGATGTCGGGGAAGAGAATGGAGAGCAGGCTTATAATCACAGGCAAGTTGACACAATGGGAATTGTGTTTTTGTTTTAGGTAGGTCTCTGTTGTTTCAAAAGTAACAACCAGCAAAATATGCAGGTCTTTAATTTTCTTTAGGCCTGCTGTAATTAAAACCGTTCTTAATCGCTGAATCTGGTAAACTGAAAAGATGCTGTAACAGTGTGTGCAGGTGGATTTCAGAAAATTTGTACTTGAGGCTCATTCTGCTGGTATCCTGTAGGCTAGCTTGGCTGATTAGGGCAAGGCGTGTGTATGCCCCAGTTCGTTTTGTCCTTTCCCCTTGTCACATCAGTTACTTAAAACGTTTTATGATGGAGGTCAGAGGACTTGCACCAGACGAAGTCCATGCTTGGGGCTTCCCCTAAACACCGCCTTTCACTGCAGTAGCTGCCTGGATCTGTAGAAGGCTCTGCTACCTAGGTTGCCGCAGATGCACTCTGTCATGCTCATACAGGCATGAAATTGCCTGTAGAGCCATTTCTCTTTTTGTATCTCCATCAAATGATGGCATGACTTTTCTGAGAGTTGACCGATTCAGAAGGAGACCGATGGGAAAGACAGAAGCAATGAGTGTGGATGCCTCATAACAATGTCCTTGCAACCACATGCTCCTGTTTGCCAAATCAGACAAAAGAGACCAGCATTTCTGGTCAGTTTTAACCCTGGAGAGATTGCAGCAAACTGGGTGATGGCCACTGAATTATAGCTCAGGTATCTAGATCTGTTTGAAGTGGGAAACACAGGATTTCCTGCCTCAAACTGTTTTTGTTCATACAACCTTTTTTTTTTAAGGCTGAGTTTAACTGTGGTCGTATTTTAGTATTAATATGGATTAAGTTCGGACTGCAGTTCCTTCCCTCAAGCTGGCCAAAAGGATTGGAATTGAAAGGCTAAGGGGTGAGGTGCATAGTTAAGGGGTCAGCTCAGGCATGAAAGACCAGGCATAGTGAGGAGAGGGCCAGACAGTGAGCACAGAGTCCCGCTTCTTCTGAAATGCAAGTAGCAGAAAATGACAATACAGATTTTTCCACTTTCTCATTGCAGTGGCAGGTCAACTTTGTTTCGTACCTGGGGATCTTATGAGTTGTTTTTACTTGAAGTGGCCCAGTTCCTGGCATGGTGTTCCCGGAACAGTCTTCATTGACACAATAGCCTTGATAAAAGCAAGATGTGAAAAGCAGTGAGGGACTCGGCTTCTCCAGAGAGTGCTGCACCCCCTGCCTGCCTATTGGTCTCCTGATGTCTTGCCAGCCTCATTCAGTATCCAGGGGCATGGGTCCCCTTAAGTGTGTACCCTGCAGCTAATGAACCATGTGACAAGGTTGGGGAAGAGAACATTCTATCACAAGTGGCATCTACCATATGTGTTGACATCTAGAAACTGAAATGTATGCTGCTTGTGTACGTTTTAGCGTTAAATCTATTCCAGATGCTCTTATTTAGGGGAGAGTGAAGGTACTTAGAAGTGCTTGGTCTCCTCTTGGGCTTCTTTTGTGTGTTTCCAGGCTGCCGAGGATGCTGAAGCTGGGGGACTGTTGGGGGGATGGTGTTGAAGTCCTGCCCCACATCCCCACCATGCCAGTGTGGAGTGGTGGGGGGAGTGTGAGATCCATGCAACCCCAATCATAAAAGCATATACTTGGGGGTCAGTGCTAGGGTTCAACAGGCAGATCCTCCACCTGCAAATGCCAGCAGTCCCTCATGGGTACTGGCTTGTGAACTGGCTGCTCCGCTTTTCATCCAGCTCCCTGCTTATGGCCTGGGAAGGCAGCAGAGGACAGCCCAAGTGCTTGGGACCCTGCACCCACATGGAAGACCCCGAGGAGATGCCTGGTTTCAAATCAGTTCAGCTCTGGCTGTTGTAGCCATTTGGGGAGTGAACCAGCAGGTGGAGGATCTTTATCTCCCCCTCTCTATGTAAGTCTGTCTCTCCAATAAAAACAAAACAAACAAAAACACAGACTTAGGAAATCTAGAAGCCTTCAGATCCTGCTCATCAGTTTTGCAGAAGAATGGGTTGACGTTTGGAAAAGTAGCAGACTGCCGGCTGATTTTTACCTTGCCCACCTGTTCCCTTGCTGATTCTGCCTGTCCTCCCCCAGCCTCACTTCTGACTGCCATGGAGCATGTTTGCTGGACCCGCAGGCTTAGGGTGCTGAAATGGACACCTTCCTCCTCTTCAGCTTGCATTCCTGAAGGATTTGGGATACCCACTTTTGCTTCTTTCATCTCTGCCTTTATGTAAATGGAACCTTTGACTTTACTGCTATTAGATTTTTCCCCACTGCTCACCTTTTTTTTTTTTTCTCGATGATATCTGGCAAATGAAACCCACTTATTTGCCTTGATAGCACAATGTTTATCGTAATGCTGTTTGTGTGCAGTAAACAAATGAAGTCAGAATCTAATAGCTCATTTAATCCTGCAGGCCATGTAATGGGTACAGCAATGAAAGGACAATTCATGAGTCATAGCTATTACCACACCTTAGGAACCCTTTCAGATGAGTTAGATGCCAAGTGACTTCAGCCTCGCAAAGGCAGCATCCTCTCAATGATGTCCCCTGAGGGCTTGCACTGTGTTTATAAATTGGCCATTATGTAATTAGAGTTTGATGGTGGTGTAACAGTTGGGTTGTAAGTATTCTCATTTTGATTTATGATGCCATTTTACACGGATGGCCAGGATTTTAAAGCTTAGTTTGAAAATAAAATGTTACAGATGTGGTAAACAAAACAAGACTCATCCTTTATAAGCATCCAATTATCTTTATTCATGTACACATGGATTCTGCAATATCTCCATCATAGGCTATTGAGAAAGGCGACTTAAGGTCTCATATCATTAGAACTGCTATTTTTCTGACTGCAAGGAGCTTGTACAACAGGACGATAACTACACAAGTGTCATGGTGTCTGCATGTTTTTCCAATTCCTGTGTGTGTTGATTTTCCAGACACTCAGCTGTGGCTTCTTTGTCCTGCAGCACACATCTGTAAGAAGGCTAGCCCAAGGAGGAGTCTGTGACTAAGAAACAGCAAGGAAAATCAAATACACTTGGGATCCAATCTTCATTTCTTGATCTTATTTCATACTAGGTTTATTTTACTCTTTCTATGTTTGTTTTTGTTTTATTTTATTTAAAAAAAAAATGTGTTTGAGAGACAGAGCTCCCATCTTCTGGTTCACTTCCCAAATACCCACACGGGTCAGGGCTGAAGTCAGAAGGTGGGAATTCAGTCCAGGCTCCCATGGTGATGGCAGAGACCTGACCCCCTGGGCCATCTTCTGCTGCCTCCGAGGGTCTGCACTGGTTAGAAGCTGGAATTAGAAGATAGAGCTGGGAAGTGAACCCAAGTTTTATGATATGGAATGGGGCTACCTTGACTGCTAAACACCAACTGCTTGTGGTGTGTTTGAATTTGTCACTTCCTGTGTTCCAAAATTTGAGTTACTGTTTTAACTTCCTACTGTCAGTACTCAATAGATAGCTAATTCTTGATGGTAAAATAATTTGGATTACTGATTTTTTTTTAAGATTTGTTTATGTAAAATTCAGAGTTAGAGAGAAGGAAAGACAGAGCAAGAATCTTCATCCGCTGGTTTATTTCCCAAGTGGCCACAGCAGGCAGAATTGAGCCAGGCCAAAACCAGGAGCTTCAACCAAATCTTCCACATGGGCAGTAGGGACTCAAGCACTTGTGCCATCCTCTGCTGCTTTCCCAAGCCTTTGGCAAGGAGCTGGGTTGGAATGGAGCTCATCGGAGTAGAACTGGTGCTCATATGGGATGCTGGTTTCAGAGTCAGTAGATCTGCCAGCTGTACCATGACAACAGCCCCTGGGATTCTAAGGATTTAGATC